CGTTCAAATCGTTTGCTTTCTCAACTGAGCTCATAGGCTTCTCCACTCTATCACGAAGATTTACACACGAATTCAGATTGAAGTGTGCAAAAACAAACTAGCATCTGCCGAAATCCCTTCAGAAATTTCGTATTGTCACTGACACATGTAGTTGACCATGTGCATATTTTCCCACACTGTTAATGAGTATCTACATAAAAACACTGATGTTGTCATGTTGACAGTCCATAAAGACAGCCTCCTTGGAACTAGTGCAGCCTTCGTATAATAATATTCTTATAGTTTGCTATAAGTTGAATAAATACATCAATGGAGTTTCGCCCGTGATATAAAAAACATAGTTCACATTTCACTTCGCGAAAAACGGGTGAAACTTCAATGCTAGTTCCGAGTTTTCCAAGAGAGGAAACAGACGTTCATAGTTTAAGTTCGTTCTCACCACTGCTGAGTGCTCCCAACCGAGAGATTTGGAATATATTCTTCGAAGATCCTCGACTAGACCGACGTCCAAGTCGCGCTGAAGGAAGGAAATACTCAACGACGAAATACATCGTGTGTGCCTATATAATATGCAAATGTGAAGAATGCGCGGTATGTATTCCGGGATTGATGATAGTGAACAACTTGTCGCTATCACATGTTCATACCAATGTTTACATTGTTTATGCGACGTTAATCTCGGAAAATAACACACATTTGCATCTCAGATTGACACGCACTGTACTCTCTCCCAAAACAAGTCTTTATAAAAAACCCTTGAAACATTCATAACTTTCTGTCACTAATTCCATCCTCAACGAGAATTGCTGCCCCCAATTCAGTCGAAGACCTACCTCTTTCGCACACACAATCGACGCCACTTGCAGTGCCTCATATCCAAGGTCCACCTGACGAGCGGCGTAATAAAAAATATGCATATCGTGAAGCGCTTCGCTCCGCTGCGCTACAATTCCATCATAAAACGCATGAATTTCAGCACGCCTTTCACAAGTGCATAACCAACAGATACGCCCTGCATTTAATGCTGTTAATTTTCCGCAGGCCTGAACGACCCCGGTTCGATCCCGACAGTTGTCGTTTAACAGAACATATTGTGTAGCCGAATGATGCACATCGTGGAACACTTCGCTCCGCTGTGCTTGAGACGAGACGATTCCAACATGAAATCTATGGATTTGAGACGCCTTTCTCACGCGTTGAGATCCTATGTCTATCAACTCTCCTGACTGGCATAATGCCGAACTAGGCTAGGATTACGTAAGGAGTGTATTTTTTCCTTACACAAATTCGTAAAATCAGCGTTTATCGTTTACGAGTAAGACTCCTGAGCTGAAGCTTTAACAAAGCATAGATATAACGATGAATGTAGTTAGACTAAACTAAGATGAACTGTCATTATATATTCTTTCTCCTACCACTGAACAGCGCGACTCACCCAAGCAGGATTGCGAAGTCGTCGTGTGAGAAATAATCCCACCGCTATCTCTGGCAGAAGAGGGCGAACGTCCTCAGACCACTTCAAACGCTCTGAAGGTTTTTGTGGAAAACTATCGCCTTTATACGATGGAGTTTCACCCGTTTTACGTGAAGTGGCGTGATACTTTGTGAAAAACGCGATATTGGCGCTATGCAATAGTCGTAGAATATATATATCTTCACTAGTGTTTTTCATATAAGGGGTGAAACTTCAATGAACAAAAATATGCACACAATCAACCACGCGTGTCGGCGACGATGTGAAAACTCAGAGAAAATTCTTGTACACGTCCACGCGTGTGAAAGCTTTGCGAGGAAACTCCTGAGCTCAGCATATCTTCCAACACTGCGATCATAGGAAACCTGGCGGAGGAGTGAGAATTCACATACGACCAAATTTAATACAAAGTAATGACCGCAAAACTCACGATTTACCAACCTTTAGCATTATCATAGTAGCGTAACCGCGCAACTGCTTGGAGTCGAACCTGCGCACTGATATCGGAAAAATACCAGAATTAACGATCTGAACTTACCACTGCTAGAACAATACGTGGTGGATGCCTCACAGGGTCATCCATTAACTCGTCGGGATTAAATTTATACTCGTGAATATCTTGATGCACATTACTCATCACAGGATATAAAACAACACAAGTGATATATGCATCTGCGGACCAAATACACTTATTGTTATTCGCCAAGGCAATCATCTGTCGCAACAAGCAGGAGAACGAGACGGCGTTTCAAGGCAAAATACCATGTCTCGCCTCGCCGCCCGACCAAGATTCTTTCCGCTAGACCACGAGACGGGAAAAACTGCGTGAAAAATTTAGCGGAAGTATACTCGAAGGCAATTCTTTCCTATGAAATTGCGTTAGGTGGCCTCCATTGCGATTTCTGTGAGCTATCTCTGGCGATTTCCGAATGAGCTGATAATCCTAATTTCCATTCGACACCGGCCTTTTCCGAATGTAAGCTCTCTCTTCCTTCAAAGCACGGCGAGGGGCATACAGTACGCGAAGTCTACGCGAAACTGTCCGCAACCATGGAAAGCTTTGGAGTGAAGCTCCGGGAAAATAGCACTATAACCGTATTTTTCGCGCAAGCTGAACTTTTAAGAGCCGCTGATGAATATTCTGCCACTGGTCGAACCACGGACGGTTGGGGTACCGGAGGCCTGCAACGCAAGTGACCGCAGGCCTCCCTATCCCTCTCTCCTAAGGAGTTAGAATAATACATCTCAACGCGAGTGTAGGCTTGAAAGAAGTTCAACTCGTTGAGCAAATTCGAACCGAACGAATGCAGGAAGTGGGAAATGATTGCGGCTGAACAGGAGAGAAAGCAGGGGGGAATCATTTACCAGAATGAAACCTCTAGCCTCCGAGTTGTGGCAGGGCG